TTTTTAGTAAAGACAGGGTTTCACCATGTTGGCCAGCCTAGTCTGGGACTCCTGGCCTCAAATTATCCACCTGCCTCAGCCTCCCACAAAGTGCTGAGATTACAGGTGTGAGCCACCATACCCAGCCGGAACAGTGGCTTTTTCTATGAGGTAAAAATGATGGGAATACACTAGAAGAATTTGAACAAAAGGGCCGGACGCGGTGGCTCACTCCTGTAATCCCAGTACTTTGGGAGGCTGAGGCAGGTGGAACCCGAGGTCAGGAGATCGAGACGATCCTGGCTAACATGGTGAAACCCTGTCTCTACTAAAAATACAAACAATTATTAGCCAGGCCTGGTGGCGGGCACCTGTAGTTCCAGCTACTCGGGAGGCTGAGGCGGGAGAATGGCGTGAACCCAGGAGGCGGAGCTTGCAGTGAGCTGAGATCGCGCCACTGCACTCCAGCCTGGGCGACAGAGCGAGAATCCGTCTCCAAAAAAAAAAAAAAGAACAAAAAAACCCGAGGAATTTGAACAAAAGAACGAAATAAATTCTAAATTTTGCAAAGATCATTCTGGCAACTGTATCGAGAAACTTTATTGTAGAGGGGAGGAAACATGGAAACAAGTTAGGGGTCTATTAATATAATCTAGGCAAGAGATAATGTGGCTTGGATTATAGTCAAATTAGTGGAATTGGTAAGAAGTGGACTGATTCTGGATAAGTTTGAAAACAGAGCAAATATGACTTCCTGATAGATTGGAAGTAGGGTATCACAGAAAGAAAGGAGTCAAGGATGACTCCTGCGTTTTAGTTTGAACAACTGGAAAGATGGAATTGTCATTAAATGAGATGGTTGGCAAAGGCTAAGGTTGTAGGATTTGTGTATGTTTTCTTTCTGGTGAAGGGGTTAGCAGGAGTTTAGTTTCAGACATATTGATTTTGAAATGCCAGATAACTAAGTGGAGGTGTCAAGTAGATAGATTAGTATGGGAGACTGGGAAAGAAGTCTGATATGAGATAGAAATTTGAGGCTTGGCACATCCTTGTAATCCCAGCACTTTGGGAGGCCAAGGCAGAGGACTGCTTGAAGCCAAGGAGGTCAAGACCAGCCTGAGCAACATACTGAGACCCCATCTCTACAAAAAACTAAACAGCTAGGTGCAATGGCATGCACCTGTAGTCCCAGCCACTCAGGAGGCTGAGGAGGAGGATTGCTTGAGCCTTGAAGTTTGAGGCTGCAGTGAGCTATGACCATACCACTGTATTCCAGCCTGGGTGACAGACCCTGTCTTTTTCTTTTTTACAGATGGAGTGTTGCTCTTGCTGCCCAGGCTGGAGTACAATGACATGAACTCGGCTCACTGCAACCTCTGCCTCCTGGGTTCAAGTGATTCTCCTGCCTCAGCCTCCCGAGTAGCTGGGATTACAGGCATCCGCCACCATGCCCAGAAATTTTTTTGTATTTTTAGGGGGTTTCACTCTGTTGGTCAGGCTGGTCTCGAACTCCTGACCTCAGGTGATCCACCCACATGGGCCTCCCAAAGTGCTGGGATTATAGGTGTGAGCCACTGCGCCCGGCCCAACTCTATATCTCTTTAAAAAAAAAAAAAAAAAGAAAAAGAAAAAGAAAACTAGAAATTTGAGAGAATTAACAGTATATAGATAGTATTTAAAGCTAGAAAAATGGATGAAACCAACATTAAAGGAGTGAAAGGAAAAAATAAACTAAGGCTGGGCCGGGGTCAGTGGCTCCCACACCTATAAACCCAGCTCTTTGTGGGGCTGAGGCAGGTCAATCACGAGGTCAGGAGATTGAGACCATCCTGGCCAACAGGGTGAAACCCCATCTCTACCAAAAAACACAAAAATTAGGCTAGGCATAGTGGCCCATGTCTGTAACCCTAGCACTTTGGGAGGCCAAGGTGGGCAGATCACCTGGTCAGGAGTTCAAGAACAGCCTGGCCAACATGGTAAAACCCCATCTCTACTATAAATACAAAAATTAGCGGGCAACAGAGTGAGACCCCATCTCAAAAAACAAAAAGCAAAACAAAACAAAAAAAAATAGAAAAAGTAGCTGGGTGTGGTGGCACACATCTGTAGTCCCAGCTACTCGGAAGGCTGAGGCAGGAGAATTGCTTGAAACTGGGAGGCAGAGGTTGCAGTGAGCCAAGATCACGCCACTGCACTTTGGTCTGGTGAGAGCCAGACTCTATCTCAAAAAAAAAAAAAAAAAAAAAGAGCTGACAGCTGGAACACTAACAAAATAATGAGAATACTGTTTAATGATTCAACTAAAGCAGCAATAAAATAATACTGGGCGTACAGGGGAGAGAAAATGGGGCTGTAAAAAGGGCTTAAGTCTTCATAAAGCAAAGCAAGTAATGAAGATAAATACTGCTATATGAATATTATGTCATTGCTATTGAGTTATATTAAGGCAAATAAGAGGAGATATTACATAGTATTAATAGATGCTATTATGATCTTATTTTCTTAGGAGTGATTATGGAATTGTGGTTATTTCAGAACATGTTTTGTTTTTTCTTAGGCAAACTGAAGAATTCATATGTCAAATTGGGTTACAAAAACAAAACAAGACAAATATTAACAATTATTGAATCAAAGTTGATGAATACATAGGTGTTCACTGCACTATCCTTTCAACTTTTTCATCAAACAATATTAAAAACTGATATGGGGCGGGGCACGGTGGCTCAAGCCTGTAATCCCAGCACTTTGGGAGGCCGAGACGGGCGGATCACGAGGTCAGGAGATCGAGACCATTCTGGCTAATCCGGTGAAACCCCGTCTCTACTAAAAAATACAAAAAACTAGCTGGGCGAGGTGGCGGGCGCCGGTAGTCCCAGCTACTCAGGAGGCTGAGGCAGAAGAATGGCGTGAACCCGGGAGGCGGAGCTTGCAGTGAGCTGAGATCCGGCCACTGCACTCCAGCCTGGGCGACAGAGTGAGACTCTTGTCTCAAAAAAAAAAAAAAAAAACTGATATGGTAGAGAGAAGAAAATGTAGTGGCAAACAAAAAATACCGTAAGTAAAAATAATTGCCAGAGACACAAACTATAAAAAAACCAAAAAGAACTCTTATAATTTTCTATATCAGAAAAATATACTTTTTAAAAAAAGCCACAAATCTACATGGAAAAGAACAGATAAGGTATTCAGAGGCACTTTATAGGTATTTGATCGTTGATGTCTATGGTCAGAGCATCTACTGTACAGTATTTTAAATGTCACCGCATGGTACTAAAGTCTGTCTTATAAAACTTAGGCGAAAGGTATATGGGTGTTTATTATTAGTAGTCTTTAAACTCTGTATGTACTCTTTTGCATTACGATAGTCTTTGTTAAACAAAATGCCCAAATTAGTTTTTCTTTTTTTTTTCCTTTTTTCTTTTTTTTGAGACAGAGTCCCACTCAGTCGCCCTGACTGGAGTGCAATGGCACGATCTGGGCTCACTGCAACCTCCGCCTCCCGAGTTCAAGCCATTCTCCTGCCTCAGCCTCCCCAGTAGCTGGGATAACAGGCGCATGTCCGGCTAATTTTTTGTATTTTTAGTAGAGATGGGGTTTCACTATGTTGGCCAGGCTGGTCTCGAACCCCTGACCTCAGGCGATTCCCCCACCTTGACCTCCCAAAGTGCTGAGCTAGCACGCCCAGCCCCAAATTAGTTTTCTAAAGAATATATTCAGTGGCATGAATCTGGGAGGCGGAGGAGCTTGATCGTGCCGCTGCACTCCAGCCTGGGCAACAGAGCGAGACTCCGTCTCAAAAAAAAAAAGAATATATTCAGGACAGGCATGTAGCTCACGCCTATAATCCCTGCATTTTTGGGAAGGTGATGTGGGCAGATTCCTTGAACTCAATAGTTCAAGACCAGCCTGGGCAACAAAGTGGGACTCTGTGCCTATAAAAAACTTAAAAATTAGGCTGGGCACAGTGGCTCACGCCTGTCATCCCAGCACTTTGGGAGGCCAAGGCGGGGAGTTTGAGACCAGTCTGACCAACATGGAGAAACCCCATCTCTACTAAAAATACAAAATTAGCCGGGTGTGGTGGCGCATGCCTGTAATCCCAGCTACTCAGGAGGTTGAGGCAGGTGAATCACTTGAACCCGGGAGGCGGAGGTTGCGGTGAGCCGAGATAGCGCCATTGCACTCCAGCCTGGGCAACAGAGCAAGACTCTGTCTGAAAATAAATAAATAACTAAATCAAAATAAAAATTAGCTGGGAATGGTGGCAAGCACCTGTTGTCCCAGTTACTCCAGGGACTGAGGTGAGAGGATCATACTAAGCCCAGTAGGTTGAGGCTGCAGTGAGCTGTGAGCATGCCACAGTACCCTAGCATGGGTAATACAGTGAGAACCCTGTCTCAACAAAAAAAATAAGCAATTATTATATGAAACATCAGGGACTATTATACTTTTTTTTTTTTTTTTGAGACAGGGTCTTAACTCTATTGCCCAGACTGGAGTGCAAGGGCACAATCTTGGCTCACCACAACCTCCGCCTCCCCTGCTCAAGTGATTCTCCTGCCTCGGCCTCTGGAGTACCTGGGATTATAGGCACGCGCCACTACCGCCTGGCTAATTTTTGTACTTTTAGTAGAAATGGGGTTTCACTATGTTGGCAAGGCTGGACTTCAACTCCTGACCTCAAATGATCCACCTGCCTTGGTCTCCCAAAGTGCTAGGATTACAGGTGTGAGCCACTGTGCCTGTCCTATTATAGCTTTTATGGCACAGCTTAAGCACCAAGTTTAGGGAAATTTGTTCTGAGTATTAATTATATGAGAGACTTAGGATAATTAGTAATAAATATGTCTTAAAACAATCTTCTCACCTAAAAACTGGAAAAACTTTCTCACTGAAGAGTGTATTACTCTTTCTATTCCAAAGAAAAAAAATGTTAAAAATATAGATTTCAGTGATACAATGTCACCAAACAAAAAATGCATTCTTAACTCTAAGAAATAATAAATAAATTTCAATCATACCATCTTCTTCATCCTCAGCTTCTTCTGCTTCCATAGGGTCATATTCATCTTGATTGTTATCTTCTTCAGTTTCATCATCATCTTTAGAATCATCTTTTCTTTTATCTTCTTTCTGTAATTTAAATGCCTTTATTATTTATTTACTTATTTTTAGAAGATGGGGTTTTGCCATATTGCCCAGGCTAGTCTCCAACCCCTAGGCTCAAGTGATCCACTGGCCTGGACCTTCTGAAGGGGTAGGATTATAGGCGTCAGCCACTATAGCCAGCAGTTATATTATTATTATACAATCATAACAATTATTATATATTATTACACACACACACACACCTATATATATATTTTTTTTTTCTTTTTTTTTTGAGATGGAGTCTGGCTCTGTCACCCAGACTGGAGTGCAGTGGCATGATTTCCCTTCACTGCAACCTCCGCCTCCCAGGTTCAAGTGATTCACCTGCCTCAGCTTCCCAAAGGGCTGGGATTACAGGTGTGAGCCACTGTGCCTGGCTTAAAATAGTTTTAAATTAAGCAATAAATCTCACCAAACAGGCTGGGCGCGGTGGCTCAAGCCTGTAATCCCAGCACTTTGGGAGGCCGAGACGGGCGGATCACAAGGTCAGGAGATCGAGACCACAGTGAAACCCCGTCTCTACTAAAAATACAAAAAATTAGCCGGGCGCGGTGGCGGGCGCCTGTAGTCCCAGCTACTCAGGAGGCTGAGGCAGGAGAATGGTGGGAACCCGGGAGGCGGAGCTTGCAGTGAGCCGAGATCGCGCCACTGCACTCCAGCCTGGGCAACAGCGTGAGACTCCGTCTCAAAAAAAAAAAATCTCACCAAACATTAAATTACTAAAACTAAAAAACAGTAAATCCACTGAAGTTATTTAAAAGTTTTACATTGTAAATTACTATTTTTTTGTTTGTTTTTTTTGAGACACAGTCTTACTCTGTTGCTCAGACTGGAGTGCAATGGCACAATCTGGGCTTACTGCAGCCTCCAACTCCTGGGTTCAGGCAATCCTCCTGCCTCATCCTCCCAAGTAGCTAGGACCACAGGTACACGACCATGTCCAGCTAATTTTTGTAATTTTTGTAGAGAGGGGGTTTCACCATGTTGTCCAGGATGGTCTTAAACTACCAGAATCAAGCAATCTCTCCACCTCAGACTCCCAATGTGCTGGGATTATAGGAGCGAGCCACTATGTCCGTACTATAAAAGAGTAATAATTGGCCGGGCGCGGTGGCTCAAGCCTGTAATCCCAGCACTTTGGGAGGCCGAGACGGGCGGATCACGAGGTCAGGAGATCGAGACCATCCTGGCTAACACAGTGAAACCCCGTCTCTACTAAAAATACAAAAAAACTTAGCCGGGCGAGGTGGCAGGCGCCTGTAGTCCCAGCTACTTGGGAGGCTGAGGCAGGAGAATGGCGTGAACCCGGGAGGCGGAGCTTGCAGTGAGCTGAGATCCGGCCACTGCACTCCAGCCTGGGTGACAGAGCGAGACTCCGTCTCAAAAAAAAAAAAAAAAAGAGTAATAATTAGGCTGGGTGTGGTGGCTCACATCTGTAATCCCAGCACTTTGGGAGGCTGAGGTGGGCAGATCACTTGAGGTCAGGAGTTCAAGACCAGCCTGGCCAACATGGTGAAAACCTGCCTCTACTTAAAAAAAAAAAAAAAAATTAGCTAGGCAAGGTGGCATGCACCTGTAGTCTCAGCTACTTGGGAGGCTGAGGAAGGAGAATTGCTTGAACCTGGGAGGGAAAGGTTGCAATGAGCAAAGATTACACCACTAGACTTCAGCAAGCCTGGTCAACGGAGCTAGACTCCATCTCAAAAAAAGGGAAAAAAAAATTTTACGAATAAGGTATTAGAAAACTAGCTATAGATGCTCATATTGGCTTAATTTGAAGATCTGAATTTCTTTTTTTTTTGAGATGGAGTCTTGCTATGTCGCCCAGGCTGGAGTGCAGTGGTGTGATCTTGGCTCACTGCAACCTCCACCTCCCGGGTTCAAGTGATACTCCTTCCTCTGCCTTCCCAATAGCTAGGACTACAGGCATGTGCCATCACGTCTGGCTAATTTTTTGTATCTTTAGTGGAGACGAGGTTTCACCGTGTTAGCCGTGACGGTTTCAAAGACTTGATTTTCTAATATAGTAAAATCTTTCAGTTTGGCTTTTACATCTAATATTCTGATGGAAATCAACATCAACCTTTATAACGTAGAAGAGTAACTGAAAGTTCTAAAGCAGGTTGTTATTACAGACCTTTCTTTCATCTCTATCTTCTTTTTTATCTTTATCATCGCCTGATTTTCTCCGTTTGGGTTTTGGCTCATCAGTTTCATCATCTCTTTCTTCCTTTTTATCTTTTCTCTCATCTTTTTTGCTTTTTTTATCCTTTTCTTTTTTGTCCTCTTTCTCAGGAAGAGACAGTAATGATTTGTATATACGGACACCAAAATCTCTTTGAAGCATTTCATTGAAAAGTTCCGCAAACAATGAAACCTATAAAAAGATACCAACATGAACCTAGCCAAATTTCAACAGAAATAATAAAGTTAGCACAGTAATTTAGCAAATAAAAACTTGCCACATATAATGATTATGTAAACTTATCAACCTTTTTTTTTTCTTTTTTTTTGAGACGGAGTCTCGCTCTGTCACCCAGTTGGAGTGCAGTGGTGCGATCTTGGCTCACAGTAAGCTCCACCTCCTGGGTTCACACCATTCTTCTGCCTCAGACTCCCAAGTAGCTGGGACTACAGGTGCCCGCCACCATGCCTGGCTAATATTTTTGTATTTTTAGTAGAGACGGGGTTTTACCGTGTTAGCCAGGATGGTCTCGATCTCCTGACCTTGTGATCTGTCCGCCTCAGCCTCCCAAAGTGCTGGGATTACAGGAGTGAGCCACCTCACCCGGCCACTTATCAAATTTTTAACACAACCATTAATCTTTTTTTTTTTTTTTTTTTCCTGACAGTCTTGCTCTGTCACCCAAACTGGAGTGCGGTGGCGTGATGTGGGCTCACAGCAACCTTTGGTTCCCAAGTTCAAGCCATTCACCTGCCTCACTCTCCTGAGTGGCTGAGATTACAAGCTTGTGCCACCAACCCCGGCTAATTTTTGTATTTTCAGTTGAGATGGAGTTTCGCCATGTTGGCCAGGCTGGTCTCGAACTCCTGACCTCAGGTGATCCACCCGCCTCGGCCTCCCAAAGTGCTGTGATTACAGGTTGTGAGCCACCCCGCAAAGCCAACCAACTGTTAATCTTCATGATAAGTGTACCTTATTAATTTACTCAATAAATTTTACATCAAATGCCTGGTATGTACAGGGCCTGTTTTAGGCATTAGGGATACAGCACTGAAGAAAGCTGATAAAAACCTCTCCTATCATCCAGCCAGTGGAGAGAAGCAATAAATAACCAAATCATGAAGTCTCTGTTAACCTATTCTGGTTCTGGGGCTGCCCGGTTTTTAAGACAAGGAATAACCAAATCAACATCAAATTATATGAAAAACAAGCAGGATAAACACCTACAGAACAACAAGAGAGAATAGTAAGACAAGGCTTCTCTGATAAAGTGACATTTAAAAAGTGAACAGAAGGCAATGAGGAAATAAGTCATATTGGTAGCTAGGAGAAGAAAATTCTGGATTAGGGAAACAATTTTAAACCCTGAATAGGGAACATCTATTACTACTACGCAAGCATCCCCAGGTAACAGGCTATTGCTATGTATTATAAATTTTTTGGGTTTTTTTTTTTTTTTTTTTGAGACAGAGTCTTGCTCTGTTGCCGAGGCTGGAGTGCAGTGGCGCAGTTTTGGCTCACTGCAAGCTCTGCCTCCCAGGTTCACACCATTCCCCTGCCTCAGCCTCCCCAGTAGCTGGGACCACAGGTGCCCGCCACCACACCCAGCTAATTTTTTGTATTTTTAGTAGAGATGGGGTTTCACTGTGTTAGGCAGGATGGTCTTGATCTCCTGGCTTCGTGATCCGTCTGCCTCGGCCTACCAAAGTGCTAGGATTAAAGGCGTAAGCCACTGTGCCCGGCCTATATTATAAATTTTTTATGTACCTATTTATTTTTTCTTTGAGACAGAGTTTTGCTCTTGTTGCCCAGGCTAGAGTGCAATGGCATGATCTCAGCTTACCGCAACCTTCACCTCCCAGGTTCAAGCTATTCTCCTGCCTCAGCCTCCTGAGTAGCTGGGATTACACGTCTGTGCCACCACACCCAGCTAATTTTGTATTTTCAGTAGAGATGGGGTTTGTCCATGTTGGTCAGGCTGGTCTTGAACTCCTGACCTCAGGTGATGCGCTCGCCTTGGACTGCTGAAGTGCTGGGATTACAGGTGTGAGCCACTGCACCTGGCCTTATGGACCGATTTCTTTTTCTTTTTTTTTTTGAGACGGAGTCTCACTCTGTCGTCCAGGCTGGAGTTCGGTGGCGCGATCTCGGCTCACTGCAAGCTCTGCCTCCCGGGTTCACGCCATTCTCCTGCCTCAGCCTCCCAAGTAGCTGGGACTACAGGCGCCCGCCACCACGCCCGGCTAATTTTTTGTATTTTTAGTAGAGATGAGGTTTCACCGTGTTAGCCAGGATGGTCTTGATCTCCTGACTTCGTGATCCGCCCGTCTTGGCCTCCCAAAGTGCTGGGATTACAGGCGTGAGCCACCACGCCCAGCTTATGTACCCGATTTCTAAGGCTAAAGTCCGTTGCTTTCAATAGACTCTTAAAAAGGGCTAAAACGGGCCATGCGGTGGCTTGCGCCTGTAATCTCAGCACTTTAGGAGGCTGAGGCAGGTGGATTATGAGGTCAGGAATTCGACACTAGCCTGGTCAACATGGTGAAACCTCTCTCTACTAAAAATACAAAAATTAGCTGGGCGTGGAGGCACACGCCTGTAATCCCAGCGCTACTCAGGAGGCTGAGGCAGGAGAATCACTTGAATCTGGGAGGCGGAGGTTGCAGTGAGCCAAGATCATGTCATCGCACTACAGCCTGGGCGACAGGGTGAGACTCCGTCTCCAAAAAAGGGCTAAAACTTGAAATGGCTGACCACAGTCCTTAAATGTGTCATCTTTGCAAATCTGATATATTTGCTAAAATAGTTTAATCAGATCATTTTCTGATTACAAAGGATAATGCAAATTTATTATAACTATAATTTATTTTAGCCTATTTTTCATTAATTGCCCAATCTTTTTTATTTCACATTGAGATGGAATTTCACTATGTTGCCCAGGCTGGCCTCAGACTCCTGGGCTCATGCAATTCTCCCACCTCAGTCCCTCAAAGTGCTGTAGTGACTGTGCCCAGTCTATGTATTTATTTATTAAGTGATGATTACAAGGATGGCACCATTAGGAATTACTTCAATTTATGGCAACTGCTTACTTTTTTTATTTTTTGAGACAGAGTCTCACTCTGTTGCCCAGGCTGCAGTGCAGTGGCGCAATCTTGCCTCACTACAACCTCTGCTTGCTGGGTTCAAGATTCTCCTGCCTCAGCATCCTGAGTAGCTGGGATTACAGGAGCCTATCACCTAGCCTGACTAATTTTCTGTATTTTTAGTAGAGATGGGGTTTCACCATGTTGGCCAGGCTGATCTCAAACTCCTGACCTCAGGTGATCCACCTGCCTGAGCCTCCCAAAGTGCTGCGATTACAGGCATGAGCCACTGCACCCAGCCAGGCAACTGCTTAAAAAAAAGATAACGTCATATAGCATCAAATTTTAAGGACATCTGCTTATTGGAATAATTAACATTGGAAAAAAAAATCCCAACAACTTGGACATATTTTAATATTTATAACATGTTTTATATGAAAACTAATAAGCATGGACTTTATGTTTTATAATTGCCTCAGTAATCCTCAAAGGTCTCTAGTCTTCCTTGATTTTCATCTTACCAGCTGGTGAACAATGACCTTCTGGTTCAAAGAAGCATGACTGATTTTTCCAATATAATTTAGAAAACAAAAGAACATAAGATATGTTGATAAGATAAAATAATTAAACACAATAATTTTAGATATGATTTTGTACAGGGCACTACAAAATTAATTATGTTGGAAATTCTATTTTTAAGGAGTGAAGCAATTACACACTTAGAGATAAAAGTTTTTAATTGTTTTGAAAACTAACATGTTGTAAACTAAACTACATGTTGTAAAGCTGCTCTAAAATAATGATACAGGCTAGGTGAAATGGCTCATGCCTGTAATCCCAGCATTTTGGGAGGCCAAGGCAAGTGGATCACCTGAGGTCAGGAGTTCAAGATCAGACTGGTCAACATGGGAAAACCCTGTCTCTACTAAAAATACAAAAATTAGCCGGGGTTGGTGGCGTGCAACTGCAATTCCGGCTACTCAGGAGGCTGAAGGAGGGCAACAGCTCAAACCCGGGAGGCGGAGGTTGCAGTGAGCCAACATCGAGCCACTGCACTCCAGCCTGGGTGACAGAGGGAGACTGTCTCAATAAATAAATAGGCCGGGCGCAGTGGGCTCATGCCTGTAATGCCAGCAATTTGTGAGGCGGGTGGATCACTTGAGGTTGGGAGTTTGAGACCAGCCTGGCCAACATGGTGAAACCCTGTCTCTACTAAAAATTCAAATAATTAGCCAGGCGTTGTGCCTGTAATCCCAGCTACCCTAGAGAGAGGCAGGAGAATTGCTTAAGCCTGGGAGGCAGAGGTTGCAATGAGCTGAGATTGTGCCATTGCATTCCATTCTGGGCAACAAAGTGAGACTCTGTCTCAAAAATAAATATATAAAATAAGTAATAAAATAATTATACAAAAAATAGATTAATAATGAAAAGTTAAACAATTATTTTCTCTTACAACTCAAACACCAGTTAAATTTTTAATCTCTTTAAATGGTATTAAATGCTTTTTTTTTTTTTTTTTTTTTTGAGACGGAGTCTCGCTCTGTCACCCAGGCTGGAGTGCAGTGGCCGGACCTCAGCTCACTGCAAGCTCCGCCTCCCGGGTTTACGCCATTCTCCTGCCTCAGCGTCCCGAGTAGCTGGGACTACAAGCGCCCGCCACCTCGCCCGGCTAGTTTTTTGTATTTTTTAGTAGAGACGGGGGTTTCACCGTGTTAGCCAGTATGGTCTCGATCTCCTGACCTCGTGATCCGCCCGTCTCGGCCTCCCAAAGTGCTGGGATTACAGGCTTGAGCCACCGCGCCCGGCCTAAATGCTATTTTAATTCTAGAGAAGATAATAAAGCATTACCTCATCCCCAAAAGAGTCAACTAGACATTACGGATATCCTGAAGAAAGAACACACCACACTACTTATGAAAGCGTCTTAGGGAAAAAACAGAACTGAACTTAATTAAAAATTTAGACCCAACAATCAATTTAAATGAAATACAGGGAATAGAGGAACGCATAAACCATAGCAGGGAAATGCAATCAGCAAAAGTGAGTCTGTAAGGAAACTTTAGAGGACAAATCATCTATTTTTTTCCCAAGAAGTAGATTACAAGAAAAAACCAACAAAAACTCAAAAAAACAAGCAATGAAAAAGAGGCATTCGGGGCTGGGCGCAGTGGCTCATGCCTGTAATCCTAGCACTTTGGGAGGCTGAGGCAGGCGGATCACCTGAGGTCGGGAGTTCGAGACCAGTCTGGCCAACATGGTGAAACCCTATCTCTACTAAAAAATGCAAAAATTAGCTGGGTGTGGTGGCAGGTGCCTGTAATCCCAGCTACTCGGGAGGCTGAGGCAGGAGAATTGCTTGAACCCAGGAGACAGAGGTTGCAGCGAGCCACCATCACGCCAATGCACTCCAGCATGGGTAACAGAGCGAAACTCTGTGTCAAAAAAAAACCAAAAACCAAAAAAACAAAAAAAGTAAAAAACAAAGAAAAAAGATTTCAGAGATATATTAACTAGTCATAATGTGTGGCCCTTATATGGTTCTTATTTCAAACTGAAAACATTACCTCAAATGAATGTTCTTTATTATCCTCTAATCTGTAGTCCAACAAGACACTCAAAGACATGATGCTACAATCAAACTTGCCACTTTTTGCAGCCCAATTTGGATGTACAATGATAGCTGGTTCATCAGGCAAAATATATCTTCTTTCTCGACGCTGACGTTCCATTTCCTCTTGACGTTTCCTTTCTTCTTCCTAAATATTTCAAATTTCAAGTCAAGGTTAAATCTGCAAGTATGATGTATATACACGTCCAAGATGAATATACATCGAATATATACCACATAAAGGAACAAAATTCCCATGACTCTTCATGGTGCTTACACTAACCATAAGGGTTGAGAAGGGAGGAAAGTTCAAATTCACTAAGCGTAGTAAGCTTTGATGGCTCCTAACTCTCTTTTGGATTTCCCAGCATAAGAAACTGCCATGTAAAGAGGGGGAAAAGTTATCTATATTGAGATTATATAAATTAGAAAATTCTGGGAAAATAGTAGTGGTAGCATAGGTTTTAGATCTTCCTGAAACCTCATACTAAAAACACAAAGCAATATAGATATCAAAATCAAAAACCGATAGCATTCATAACAAAACTAAGTGACAAGGTATCCCCACAAACCAATATACAAATGGGTGGGAAAAGGCCAAAAGACCTATGTGTTACTGATGAATGTGTCCAAAGAAAGCATAAGGAAGCAATGGGAGAACAAGAAAACCAAAAAACAGCCAGTAGGTATTTACTGGAAAGTGCAGCAGCTGAAACTAGGCAAAATTTTACCCCTAACCAGAGAGTGAATAGAGAATTTATTTTAAGATCTGAAGAGGCCTAGGCCACTCTAGCCTTACAAACTTGCAAAGCTCATTTACTAGGGCCCTATACTGAGGAGAAACTGCTGGGAGTAGGAGAGGAACAACAAAGACATATGAGAACACCCAGACAAAAAGTGATGAAGGGCAAAAGAAACAGCAAACTTCAGAAAGCAAGCCAGCGTATGTTTCTGCCAAAACAAAACAACAAAAGAGCAGAGCTCTATGAATTTAGAAAAGCTATCTGAAAGAAACTACGTTTATAAAATTCAGACAATCTAAATTCACATAAAAATGATTCAAATATTGAGGTCAAATCCCACACAAATTTAGTATTTTTAAAAAAAGAGTGAGAAGCAGCAGCAGAATTATATCCCTGTAGATGACGAAAGTGGGCCAGAAAGACACCACCACACGGCAGATGAAAATTTTAACTATTTTTAAAGTGTGCTAAAAGAAAATGTTACAAGAGACACAGACATTCTGCATCATATTCTTAACATTCAAAATTCAGAAAGTGAGTATCTGATTGGTAGACAGATCATGTATCTGACCCTATCTGTAGCAATTCTTCGGCTTCTCTAATAGAAATGGCAGTGGGAAGGGAGAACCAGGCCTGCTAAAAGCCAATCCAAAAAGGGACTGGGTTTGTGCATTTCATTATACACAAAGTTTTTTTTTTTTTTTTTTGAGACAGGGTCTCACTCTGTCACCCTGGCCAGAGAGTAGTGGTGTGATCATAGCTCACAAATAGCACTGACCTCCTGGGTTCAAGCAATCCTCCCATGTCAGCCTCCCCAGTAGCTGAGACTACAGCCACATGTGACCATGCTCGGTTAAATTTTTTTTTTTCTTTGTAGAGATGGGGTCTCACGAAGTTGTCTCCATCTATCCTGAACAATTCAGTTCTAAAGCACTCTTTTTTTTTTTTTTTTTTTGAGACGGAGTCTCGCTCTGTTGCCCAGGCTGGAGTGCAGTGGCTGGATCTCAGCTCACTGCAAGCTCCACCTCCCGGATTTACACCATTCTCCTGCCTCAGCCTCCTGAGTAGCTGGGACTACAGGCGCCCGCCACCTCACCTGGCTAGTTTTTTGTATTTTTTTTAGTAGAGACAGGGTTTCACCATGTTTGCCAGGATGGTCTCGATCTCCTGACCTCGTGATCCCCCGTCTCGGCCTCCCAAAGTGCTGGGATTACAGGCTTGAGACACCGCACCCGGCCTAAAGCACTCTTTTCAAGGAATGTAGATGTCTACACAGGAGATGGAGGCTGGCAGGGTGGTGGAGCCACAACTGCCCATTGATGATGAGCTCCTTCATTACTAAACACTGAAACCCAGATGGAGCAAGGAGAGTAATCCATGCAGAGATGGCACAGGGCAGAGTCATGTCATTGTAAGAATTGGAGGCACCTGTGTAAATTCACAGCTTTCAATATGCGTAAGATATAGAAATAAATATACATTTAAATATTGGTAACTGTTATCTATTTATCTATATATCTTCTGTATCTCTGTTCACTGAAGGGGGTTGGGAGCAGCAACCTAATTGCAATGAGCATATCTTGGCTTCTAAATACCATTCTTCACTAAAAAGGAACCAGGGCTTCCTGGGGAAATGACTGATTCCTGAACTAGGACAAGGATAGCACAAAATAAAATTGAAATGCTTTAAAATGCTAGTAAGTAAAAAGTCCTCAAAAAGTGATAAAGATATGTCAAAAGGGCACATAGCTTACTCCCACCATCCAACGTCTGGGACAATTTCATCATGAAAATAACTCATTGAGGGCCGAGCACGGTGGCTCACAACTGTAATCCCAGCACTTCAGCAGGCCAAGGTGGGTGGATCATCTGAGATCAGGAATTTCAGACCAGCCTGGCTAACATGGCGAAACCCAATCTCTACTAAAAATACAAAAATTAGCCAGGCATGGTGGCAGGCGCCTGTAATCCCAGCTACTCGGGAGGCTGAGGTACAAGAATCGCTTGAACCCAGGAGGCAGAAATTGCAATGAGCCGAGATCATGCCATTCCACTGCAGCCTGGGCAACAGAGAGAGACTCTGTCTCAAAAAATAAAAATAAGGTCAAGAGCAGTGCAATATCAGCCTGTAACAGCAGCACTTTGGGAGGCTGAGGCGGGTGGATCATGAGGTCAAGAGATCGAGACCGTCCTGGCCAACATGACAAAACCCCGTCTCTACTAAAAATACAAAAATTAGCTGGGTGTGGTGGTGGGTGCCTGCAGTCCCAGCTACTCGGGAGGCTGAGGCAGAAGAACAGCTTCAACCCAGGAGGCAGAGGTTGCAGTGAGCCGAGATTGTGCCATTGCACTCCAACCTGGCAACAGAGTGAGACTCCGTCTCAAAAAAAAAAAAAAACATAAATAAATAAGTTATAAATAAAAAATTTTTTTTTTGAGACAGAGTCTCACTCTGTCACCCAGGCTGGAGTGCAGTGGGTGCGATTGCCACTCACTGCAAGCTCCGCCTCCCAAGTTCACGCCATTCTCCTGCCTCAGCCTCCCGTGTAGCTGGGACTACAGGCGCCCACCACCTCACCTGGCTAATTTTTGTATTTTTAGTAGAGACGGGGTTTCACCGTGTTAGCCAGGATGGTCTCGATCTCTTGACCTTGTGATCCACCCGTCTCGGCCTCCCAAAGTGCTGGGATTACAGGCATGACCCACCGCGCCCAGCCATAAATAAATAAAATTAAAAAATAAAAATAAATACGTAAAAAAATAAGAAATCACAAGTCCATGCATCACCTAAGAACAAGGTAATTATCCTACAAAATTACAAAACCATTATCACATTCAAGAAATTTAACACTGCTTTAATATTATCTAATGTCATATCCATATCCATAATCAAATTTCTCCAACTGTCCCAAAAATACTCTCTACGAGTATCTTTTACTTTCACCCATCCAGGATCTAGTCAGGTTTCACTTAGTTATTTGGTTGTTATGTCTCATTAGCCTCCTTTAATCTAAGAGATCCCTTTAACCATTTCTTTCTTTTATCTTTCATTATATGGACCATTTTTTGAAAACTTTAGGAGAGCTGAGAATTTTTCATATTCTAAAAAATAAATAAATAAAAAATTTAAAAAAGAAAATTTCATTCTAGATTTATCTGTTTTCTCACAGGGTCTTGCTCTGTCACCCAGGCTTAGGTGAGAGGACCACTAAATCACAAGCAGATTTAGAGTAAATATTTCTGGAAGGAATTCTTCATAAATAATGTGTACTTTATAATGTATAAGATTTAGAAACTGATTATATGGCTTATCCAATTACTGGTGCTAAAACACACTTCTGAGATCCCTGTATTTCAAATTCAGAAAACAAAGTAACAGGCTTATGTACCCAGGAGTTATTCTACTGGACAAAAAACGGAAGCATAAAACAGCTTGAATAAATAGTCTGAGTCTCAAGGTTTGATTCAATCAAACATACTGTTTTAGAAGCAGACAGATTCTGGAATAAGCACTTCACTAGAACTCAATTTCTGAGCCATTTACCTAGAAATGTTTTGTATCTTCATTGTGGTGTTGGTGGTGGTTATATACCTATATGCATTTGTAAAAACTCACAGAACTATTAACAAAAAAGGTTGAATTTTATTATAAGTAAATTGCACCTTAATAAAAGCATACACACGGCCGGGCACAGTGGCTCATGCCTGTAACCTCAGCACTCTGAGAGGCTGAGAGAGGCAGATCACCTGAAGTTCGAGAACAGCCTGACCAACACGGAAAAACACCATCTCTACTAAAAATGCAAAATTAGCCAGGCGTGGTGGTGCATGCCTGTAATCCCAGCTACTCGGGAGGCTGAGGCAAGAGAATTGCTTGAACCCAGGAGGTGGAAGTTGTGGTGAGCCGAGATTGTGCCATTGCACTCCCTTCTGGGCAACAAGAGCGAAACCCCGTCTCGGAAAATAAATAGCTGGGCGCGGGGGTTCACGCATGTAATCCCAGCACTTTGGGAGGCGGAGGCAGGCGAATCACAAGGTCAGGAGTTTGAGACTAGCCTGGCCAACATGGTGAAACCCTGTCTCTACCAAAAATACAAAAAAATAGCCGGGCATATGGGCGGGTGCCTGTAATCTCAGCTACTCGGGAGGTTGAGGCAGAATAGCTTGAACCTGGGATGTGGAGGTTGCAGTGAGCAGAGATCACTCCACTGCATTCTAGCCTGGGAAACAGAACAAGACTCAGTCTCAAAAAAAAAAAAGCCAAAATAAAACAAATAAATAAAAGCATACACACACATAATCTTAACTCACGTATTCCAAGAACACCCTATACATGAATATTAATACCACAGAGTGTAATAATAGAGTACATACCTCTTTATCGTCTTCAGATTTCCTATCATCCTCCTCATCCTCTTCTTTTTCAGATTTCTCTAACTCCTTCTGTTCTTCTTTTTGTTCCTCTACTTTAAGCTGTTTTGTCAGTCGGGCTATTAACTGGGATTTTAATCCTTTGGAACTAAGAGCTCGACTTTCTAATTCTTTTCGGAGGTCATTTACCTGAATATATGGAGCATGAAAACACAGGAAAAAAAAGGGGGGGTGGATATTGAAATAGGAAACAAACTAGCTACAATTAACAATTATCTTTTGTGGGTTTTTTTTTTTTAAACGGAGTCTCACTTTGTTGCCCAGGCTGGAATGCAGTGGTGTGATCTCGGCTCACCGCAAGCTCTGCCTCCCAGGTTCAAGCGATTCTCCTGTCTCAGTCCCCCAAGTAGCTGGGATTACAGATGCTCACCACCACACCCAACTAATTTTTGTACTTTTAGTAGTGACGGGGTTTCCCCATGTTGGTCAGGTTGGTCTTGAACTCCTGACCTCACGATCAGCCTGCCTTGGCCTCCCAAAGTGCTGGGATTATAAGCGTGAGCCACCACCACGCCCAGCCTTTTGTGTGACTTTACAAATGTAGCAAAAAGAACATTTGTACAGCTCACTCAACACTTGTGAAAATGCAAAATGATAGCATATTTTTGGAAAATAAAACATATTAACATGCGTAAACATTTTTTTCAATGTTCTTTGACCCAGAAGTTCTCATTTCTGGCTGTCTACCCTAAGGAAACATCCTAAATAGAAGGGGGAAAAAACCCACAAAACTATAGATTTACTTATTTCCTCCCTCCAAAAAAGTGAAGAGTCTAAATGTCTCATAAATTAGCCAGGTGTGGTAGTGAATGCCTGTAGTCCTAACCACTTGGGAGGCTGAGATGGGAAGACTGCTTGAGCCCAGGAGTTTAAGGTTCTAGTGAACTATGCACTGCACTCCAGCCACGGCGACAGAGACCTTGTCTCTAAAAGTAAGTAAATAAACAAATGTCCAATAAAGGAGTAATACCAGCAGGGAATGGTGGCTCGTGCCTATAATCCTAGCACCTTTGGAGTCCAAGGTGGAAGGATCACTTGAGGCCAGGAGTTTAAAATCAGCCTGGGGAACACAGCAAAACCCCACCTCTTTAGGAAAAAAAAGAAAAAATTAGCCAGACATGGTGGAACATGTCTTTAGCCCAAGCTACTTGAGAGGCTTAGGTGAGAGGACCACTTGAGCATAGGAGTTTGAAGCTGCAGTGAACTCTAATGACACCACTGCACTCTGTCCCTTTAATCAATTTACTTGAATAGTATAAAATATTTAAAAATAATTACATGCACAAAATTAATGTTAACTCAACAGGATGAGTCATTTTCTTTTTTTTGAGGCAGAGTCTTGCTCTGTTACCCAGGCTGGAGTGGCATAACCATGGCTCATGGCTCACCGTGGCAGCCTTGACCTTCCAAGTTCAAGTGATCCTCCCACCTCAGGCTCCTGAGTAGCTGGGACTATAGGCATGCATCACCATGCTCGGCTAATTTTTTTTTTTGGTAGAGACAAAGTCTCAGTATGTTGCCAGGGCTGATCTTGAACTACTGGGCTGTAGCAATCTGCCCATCTGGGCCTCCCAAAGTGCTGGGATTACAGGCATAAAGCATAGTGCCCAGCTGCAACCTTACACACACACATACGCACACGTGTTTTTAAACAAAATTTCATTTTGTTGCCTAAGCTGGAGTGCAGTGGCACAATCATAGTTCACTGCAGGCTCCAGATTCCAGGCTCAAGCAATCCTCCCATCTCAGCTTCCCAAGTTGCTGGGACTACAGGCGTGTGCCACTATGCCCAAATAATTTTTTAGACTTTTTATAGA